CGCGCCGCTCGGCTCTGGCGCGGCGCCCTCCCTCCCCCCGTCTCTCGTTCTACCGCGTCGTTTCGCGGGCTGCGGGCGCTGCGGCCTGTTGCGGGGCCTGGAGCGCAGACGCGGCCGGCTGTGCAGCCGCAGCCGCCCCTCCCTCGCTGCCGCCTCCCTCCCTATTGTTGGCGGCGGCTGGCTGGTGCTTCCCGCCGCGGTTAGGCCCGGGTAGGGGGCTGCGTGTGCGCGGCGGGGAGAGCGGGCCGCCACCGCACCCCCTCCTGTGCTGCCGGCCCCAAGGAGGAAGCCCTGGCAGGGCGCGCGCCAGCTGCCGCCTCTTCCCTGACTCCGCCGCTCGGGCTCCGATTCCTCCTGTCGCTCCATTTTGTCTCCCTCACCGCGCACGGTCACTTCATGGAAGGCCGCATTCATGGCCCTTTGTATCCCGCGCGCCCAGTTTCCTGGGTGCTTTTGCTGGGTTTGCGGCAGATTTCGGCGTGGTTCTTTCCTCCTCCTCCTCCCCTCACGGTTTCTGAAGGGTGATTAGGTGTGGGCACCTTTGCAACAAGTCCTTTGACATTTGGACCCACAGATTGTATTTAAAAGTCGGTGCGCTGGTCCTTCGCCTCGTTTATCGCGGGCTTGCAGTGTCTCTGAGGCCCAGTGGCTCTTGGCCTTTGTGATGAAAATACCTGTGAAGATGGCTTGGGCTACAGGCACCAGAACCTAATGGTGGGATGGAACAAAAAGATGGTAGTTCACCCAGAGATTAGAGTAGAGGAATGATTAAAAATGAAGACCGTTCACACGAAATTTCTTACGTTATATTTAAAAAATAAAGACTTGTACATACGACTGTATTTTCGAAAGCAGGGTGTTAAATTTCTTCCGCGGGATCTGCTTTACATTTTGAGAGGTGGGAGAAAGTGAAAATGCAAGGATTTTCCAATATCCCATAGGCCACGGTTGCCTGCAAAAAGGAGCTGTGGAGCAGTGATGCCAGATGATGGGCATCCTTGTAAAAGATCTAGTTAGTTACTGGTGACGTTTAAGCGCTAAGCCTGCTGTGCACATTTTTACTGCATTTTATGTTATAATACTTTTTTTCTTTTAAATCAAATTGTACCTAACTAAATGTAGTGCACCAAAAAGCATTATTTTTATTTATTTCTTTTATTTTCTAGGTTCGTATAAGAAGCTTAATAAAATTCTACTGCTTAACGTGTTTTTTTTTTTTTTCCCCTCCCTGTGTCAAGGGCCTTATTTGTGATTAAGGGCTCAAGATTTTTAAAAACATGGATGCTACAGAAGTCCTTACTGTTTGTCAAAAACGACTTCGTGCCCCTGGTTTAAATATTAGAGAAGAAAAAGAAAATTCCAATTAATTGTTTCTGAAGCCCTAAAAAACTGGATACGTTTAAATATAACTTATTGTCATCAAATGTTAAGTTAAACTTTTAATTCTGCTTAAATTTTGGATATATGCGATGTCTTAGTGTGTCAGTTACAAATTAGAAAATTTCCTTGAGTGCTACAAAGAGTCAGATTCTAATGCTTATAATTAAGGTCAATAGACAAAGACTTCTAGGAATTTTTTTTCTCTTATTAAATGAATATAACATTCCATCTAAAAGATGGCCATACAAGTAAAGGAACAATTGAGTATTCAGGACTGTTCTCATTAGGTTTTCTTGCAGGAGAATACATTGCTTCACCTTTCTGCCCACAATTTAGGAAGAATTGGGGCATAATTTTAGAAGCTAAAGCTTTCTTCGGCCATTCTTCATGAATTACTATTTTAGTCTTTAGCTGACTGCTTATTTGGGAGGGACATCTTATCCAGATAGCTGTATAGAGTGATACTTTCTTATCCCTGTGCAGTTAAATGCTGACTGAGCAGGAGGTAAGAAAAGATTAAAATTTTGTGAATTTGATGAGGGACTACTTTATAAGGGTTTTTTAAAAATGTAACTTCATTGACTTGTATCTGTAGCATTGTATCTCATACATAGTTGTATAATTTTACCAGTAAAGCTTTATGCCTTTATAGACTAATGGGGATGGGTCTCCAAGTTTAGTGGGTAGAGGCTTTGTTTTTCTTATTTTGCATATCATTGGCTTCTGTAATCTGCTTGCAGTGGCAATTCCTTTTTTTTTTTTTTT